AGGGACCACACATAGGCATCTCAGATCACATGTGGGGATTTGGAAACTCAGATAGTTTCCTTCCCATCTATGTGGTTAGCTTATTTTGGGAAGTGCTATACTAAATGTATTCCTGTGAACATAAATCTAAAAAAACCCACAAAAAACAATAAATGAAAGCTTTCCCTTTTTCTTACTAATTCACATAATTATTGAAGATTGGTTAACATACTAAAATTTAATGTCAAGTAAAGAAGTTCATTTTCTTTCTTCTAATATGCAGATGATTTTTTGCTTAGAAACTATTTCATTCAATTGCATATGATTTACATTATAGTTCTACTGGATACCATGTCATTGAAGTGGAGGAGATAGGATTTTTCTAGAGAATGTATTTTCCATTCCTAGAATAACAGAGCTACTCGTTAGATAAAACAACAGATCAACAGCTATTTTTGATGCATGCAGAATTTCTCAGAAATATTTTTATGATTCCATTTCTAACATTGTATATACTATTATAGGTATCTAGAGAAAATAAAGGAAAAATGTGTTTGGGGAAAGGAAAGAAAGGAGATTTGGTGCAAAGAAAATGCATGTACCAAATGTCCATGAATCATTTATGAAAGGCATTATTTTGTTCTTAACAAATGTTATAAATTTTTGTTTGGAAAATTCAATTGCCATTGTATATTACATTGCCCATTCAGTTCAACTATTTTGAGTTCATCAAATATCTTTTTTGACAAGCTTTTAAAAAGCATATTTTCTACTTGTTCTCTTCTTGTCCTTATCAACCATTCACATTCTAATCCTCTTTCGTTTGTTTTATTCTCTAAAATTGCTTATTTCAGCCTCTCAAATTCCATAATAGTTCAACAAAAAGGTCTATTTCAATAATATCACTTTTAAAATCTAACAAGGTTTTCCTTTTATTTTATATTTTCCTATTTTATTTTACTTTTTGGCTTTTGCCTTAATAGTTACATTCCTTCCACACAGGAATATACTGTCCTCAGTTTCCTTTGATTCAGCTTTCCCATTGTAATAAATGTAATGTGGCATTTCCAACAACATATACAATACTCTCCAGTTCATAGTCCCCCAGGGAATCACATTTCCACAAAGATAGTGACGATATTCTCATCACTGTGGCACATTGTTTTTTTGTTTTTTTTTTTGACACAACTTCTACCTTTCTTTTTAACCTGATCATTCCCTCTGCTGCCCAGAGTAACCATGTTCATGAGCTAGACATGGCTATTTGTGTGACTTGACCTTTGCTCATAGGGACTTCCCAGTCTGGAATATCTTCTGGGCACTTTATTGACCCAGGGGATGTTTACCACCTTTGAAAAACACAAAAGGCTAACAATTACCTAGATGTCTTTCTCCAAGCTGCTTCTCTGAGCATCTATATACTATCTTCTTAGTTATAGCAGATATTGCTAGACTTTATTCTTTAATGATTTTTGCCTGTTATGTTGTGAATTCTTCACAGGCAGAGATTTTTGTCTCACTTGCTTTTTATCCCCAAAGGTCTAGCTCAAGTGAATCTTGTGGAATAAAAATATTTGTTCTTTCATAGTTTTGCAGAGGATTTTGTAAAGAAGCCTTATTTGTTACTGTATGCTGCCTTACTCAGTGAGGAACAGTTTCTCATGAATTAATTTGAACCTTTCTTGAAATTATTCATATATTGATTTTGGATATCCTTCAGGGACTTTTTCTTCTGTGAAATATCACAGACATTCAGAAAAGTACAGACAATAATATGATTTATTCAGCAACCATCTTCATCAAATGGTAAGGTTTTGCCAAAATTGATTAGAATCAAATTTTTGTCTTGTTATTTCATTGGGAATCTATTACCTAAATTTTCAACCTGCCTTTGTCAATGAAAAGTTTGGGGCTCTGCCTTCACAAATAATTCTCTTTTCCTTATGAGTAGTGACAATTACGCATGACCATTTTCAAGGTTCATGGAATACTTTAGGAGAAGATAGATATTCTATAAGAATTATAATGGAATTTGCTTATTCAAATATATAATAACACCTAATACATGACAAACCATATAGTAAGCACTTGTAACATGAAAATAAGAGGAAATGACACAGTACCTGTCCTGTAGGGACTGTGGATCCTGTTTGAGGAGATGTAACAAACACGAAACAAAAATCAAGTGAAAGATATACTTAGGCATGAATATATTGGCAAATTCAAAAGAGTTCTATAAAAATAGTGTCAAAGATAGAAAATGGGATTAGAATTTTTATATTGGATAGCAGGATAACCCCTGCTCTAATGAGAAAACATTTATATTGAGAATTAAAGATGGAGAAACAATTAACTAATATTTACAAAGAAAAGATAATGGCCAGTGTAAAGGCTCTGAGTCAGGTCTGCCCTAGTGTGATCTGTACAAGAGTGGTCAGGGCTTAAGAGGGCAACTCCTGGCTCCTAAAAGGCAGAATGATCAAGATTGCTAACCTGACGAGTTTCTTTGTTTACTTTTTTACATACATGTGTACCACAAATCAGAATATAGTAACATATTAGTGGTGCAATTCCACTGTATTCTAAATCAACATGAGAAAACAAAACATAATCAGAAGATACTACAGACAGACAAATGAGTGTCACAAGACGTACACAGCATAAATTCATATGATGTCATCTCTAAATCCTTCCCTTCCCTTTTCTTGCCGAAAGCCAAATCAAAATCAAAGATTGAACTTTGAAACAGACACAGGTTGTGTTTGAAACAGAAAACTTTGAAACAAACTCCCTGGTAGTGAGATTTCTCCTTTCTCAGGCTCTGACAGCTATAGGATATTCATGATCAGTGATTGCCTTGTTGATATTCCTAGTTCTGAACCTGGATGGTGGGAGACTATCCCTTCCAATGATATATTTTTAGCTGTATATATGATGTCAGTAAACTTTGGAATAATTTCTTTTCTTAAGTTAATGTTGTGTATCTATATTTTGCATCTTTAGATGTTTCTCTTATTCACATCTTCATGGCTAATCTTATTTCTTTCTCCACTTCTTAGCTGACACCTCAAGGTGGTCACTAGGTATTGACATTGCCCTCTCACCCTTTGCTTTCCATTTGGCACATAGTGAATGTTATTCGCATCCTTAGTATCAGCACAGCCACACAATTTTGATCATCTCTCCCCTTTAACTTTACTACTCAGACTAAAGAAAATAATTCTGTTGATTATTTTAGGGTGAAAACTCCCTTAACATTTTAATTTCTTTTCTCTGGAACATTTAAAATTAATATCTGTAATGACTAAAGTTTTATTCAGTTGTTTACTGAATAAACGCTCTAGCTTGATTGATTTGGTATAAAAAAGATAAAAGAATAACCCAACTTTGAACTTCATGTTCATAATTTCTTTCTAATCTCATATATAATTTATGTCCAGAACTAGCAACATAATTTGTGAGGTCCAATTCAAAATAAGAACATGAGAACTTTGTTAAAAATAAAAAGAATTTGAAGAGAGCCAAAGCAGGACATTAAACCAAACCTGATACTCTTTTGGACAGTGTTTCTATAGGATAGCACACATTGTGTACCCAGAAAACTGACTCTGTGCAGGTGTTTGGGGTAGGTGGTAGCTGAGAATAACTTTACAAATATGTATTTTAAAGGGATTCTATAATAAAATTTCACAAATACAGATTTAGGCTTGAAATAGTATATGAAATAAAGTTAAATAAACAGATTTATTGGCATACTAGGTACTTTTGGCAGATGGTATTGTGATGGTTAGAAATACGTAGTTAATAAGAAGCTACATTTAATTTCGTGTTTATCCGTGACAGTGTTGTAATGGTTTGGTTTAGCCTGAGGACTGAGGAGACAGATTGCTGGGTTCTAAAACCTGGCTCTCTCTACTCTACTAAGCTGTGGGTCATTGGGCACATTTGTTAACGTTTGGGTTCATTGTTGTACACATGGGTAGAGATGATTACCAAGAATCTATCACATAGCTTTGTCATGCAGATTGTCATATTTCTAGTACTATGAAGAATATGTGGTAGGTAGTCAGCAAAGTATTTTAAAAATTGGTTTTAGTTTTTAAATTTTTGTTTAATTCAACATCACAGATAAAATTTGGTCTCTAAATGGCTGTAGATTTCAGTACAATATGAAAAATATTTTCTAATATTGTTTGTGTGAAATTACAAGTTCAACAGAAGATGAGGCATTCGGTTTCTGATGGTAGAAATGAACAATGTAGCTTTCCTTCATACAAGAAAAATGAAAGTTTTTTTTGTTTTAAGTTCTTTCTTTGAACCTTTTCCCTTTGTTATTTGGCTTTATTTAAAATCAAAGATCTAAATCATCTGATTAATTGAGCAATTCAGTTAATTTTGTTACAGTTAATAAGTTACATAATTTTAGAATCGAATGCAATTCAATACAGCATTTCAGGCAGTCTTAAATACATTTAATGGTAAACTTGTTTGGAAGTAATCCATTGTGATTAATGAAAGTTATTTGCTTTTATTTTATATTACTGAATAATACAGCTTTTTATATTAATATGAATTATGTTATGATTAACAGTTTGTTTATGTGCTTTATGGAAAAAATATAATGATTTACAAAGTGTAAATCTTACCATCATGAAATGACAGTTGATATATTTAAAGATAAAATTTAGAAATATGTCAAATAATAGCATTTTTTATTGTCAGTACCACTAGTATATTTATTTTAACTAATTTACTTCAGTGGTTGCTAAGAAGCTCTTCATACAGAGCAATATAATTTTAAAAAGGAAAGTTCTAGTTAGGTATATTTTCTCAGTAAGAATGTCAGATTACTTCTAGGTATAGCTTTTTATTGGTTGTGAAAATTGAAGAGAAATTAAAAAGTAGTTATTCTTAAATTTACCACCTGTCTTTCTAACCATATCATGCTGTACTTGACTCCTTCTCTCTGCTATTGTTGTCACTATATAAAATCTGTATTCAATCTCTTTTTCCTATATTAGACAGTATTACTGAAGTCTTCACTAATATCTACGTGACCAGTTTTGGCCCTGTCTCAGATACAGATATGGTGAGTTTTTTTTTTATTAAATAGTATTTTTTTCTTTACATGGTGGGTAGGGCCGGGTAATTTAGGATAGAAAGTGTTTTATTATTATATAATTATATATTTGTCCCAACTCCATGTATTTTGTCCCAAAACACAGAGAGATAAGGGTATTAATTGTTGGTACTATGGAGCACAGTATCAGCTTGAATGTTCAGATTAGCGCTCTCTCTCTCTCTCTCTCTCTCTCTCT